ACAAAAAGGAAAAAAATTCTAGTACTACACATTAATGCACACCATGCCCAACATCTGGCCCAAAATTCTTGTACTTGTGACTAAGTGGGAAAATGTGACACAGTATTGAGAGGGAAATCAAGCAATACAAACAGTTCCAAAATTACATTGATGATGAAATTACTAGAAAAAGACATTAAGGCACCTACTATAAATACTTTCTGATGTATTCAAAACAAAACATAAATATAATAAAAAGTGGAGATATAAAATACTTGCAAAATGGAAGATACAGATATGAAAAATGAAATATTTAAGAAGGAATATGTGATAGATTAGATTAATAACATATTAGATATTATAGAAGTAAAGATCAGAAAACTTAAAAATTTTCCAAGTCAATAAATGTATATATTATTAGTATAATTAAAGTTCCAAAAGGACAGAGCAGAGGAGTGGGTCAAAAACAATTTTTTTGAAGAAATAATGAGCATAAAACTTTCAATTGCCCCATGGCAATGAAAATTTAAAACTAAATCCTTGAAGCCCAACAAATCCCAAGCAAGACAAACACACAGAAGATATTATAAATAAATTGCTGAAAAACAGTGATAAAAAGAAAGCATTAATATTACTTGGAATAAAAAGGTCTTTTACATACAAAAAAACAACATAACAATTACAGGAGACTTTTCATCAGAAACTATGAAAGGAGACTGGAAAAAAGTAATATCTTTAAAGTGCTGAAAGACAAAAGTATATTCAACCAAGAATTCAATTTATGATAATAGGATAATGCAAAGTGCTAAGTGAAAAACAAACAAACAAACTTTAACTTATTTTTGAAACTAAGGCAAAATTTAAAAAAATTTAAAACAATTTAGAAACAGAACTTTTCTCAGGTTAGCACTGTTGTAAATGTTAAAGAAAATTCTTTATGGAGAACAAATTATATCAGACAGAAATTTGGATCTATATAAAGAGCTAAAAGAATGAGGAATGGTAAGTGTAGGAATAAGTATAAACTATAAGAAATTTTCTTACCTTAAAATTTTATTTCAAAGATAATTGTTTAAAGCAAAAATAATAATATGTTGTGTGGGAAGGCTAACAAGTTTACATGTAAATAAAGTGGATTAAAACAATAACTTAGGGGACTGACAGGTGTCATAGTGGTTAAGGTGTAGGACTCCCACATGGTCGACTGTAGTTTGAGACCTGGGCCCAGAAGCTTGAAACTCACTCTAGGTGTTGTGCATGTGTGCCCAAAATCCTGAGAAGAGAATGAAGGAGAACAGATTTTGGTGTGGCCATCTCCACCAAGGGGGGGCCTTCTGTCTTTCTTTCTCTTTGTCTCTATCTCTCAGGTGAATACATACACCTATAGCAAAAATATCTAAAAAAGAAAAAAAAAAACCAAGAAACAAAAACCAAAACAACAAAAAGAAAGAAACAAACAAAAACAATAACTTGAGCCAGTATGTGGCATGGGGCTTACTGTGCTGGATCCCACATGGCTGACTCCGTGGTCACATATCTGGTGGCTTCGAAAACACCCTGGGCATGTGTGTGTTCATGCCCAAAATCCCAAGATGAAAATGGAGGGAAAAGATCATGCTGCAGTCATCCTTCCTCCTCCCTTCTACTGGGGGAGATTTCTCACTGTCCCTCTCTCTTAGTGTCTCTCCAGAGAGAACATGCTGCCCTAAGGCAGAAATCTAAAACAAACAAACAAAATCAATAACTCAATGTATGGGAGGGGAAACTGGAGATTTATTGCTGTAGGATTTCTATACATGAAATACTACAATAATATATGAATGTGAAATGTGATAAGTTGACAGTGTACATTAGCAACCTCAGAGCAACCACTGAAACAAAGAGATTTAGCCAGTAAGCCACTACTGGGGGAAAAATGGAATTCTAAGTCAGAAAAATAGAAAAGAGAGCAAAAAATAATAGGACCAAAAAAATCAGAAATTACTGATTAATTATTATAATAAATGTAAATGTGTTGAATAATGAAAGGCAGAAGTCATCAGACTAGAGATGAAGCAAGACCTACAAGGCGCTACCACAAGAAACTCACTTTAACTGCAATGTGTCTGATGTTTATTTTTGTTCTGTGTTAGTGTGAAAGTGTTTGCCAGACAAACTGCAAATGGGGGGGAAGTTTAAACTGCATTGATAATAAACAATTCTTTACTGATTTTGGACTAAGAACTTTTTTTTTTCACATCACAATTGATGTACCCTTTTGCATTCACTAGAGCAAATCAGAAAGGGTCAATTCTTGGTGATGCTTTCTTAAACTTTGTGCTTTTTTTCATAGAAAGTTACTCTTGAGTGAAGTTATCTGTAATTCAGTCTTTAATAATTGCAATACAATTTTATAATTTTTCAGTTCTTGTGAATCAATGAAATTTTATTACATAGGAACTTTTATCCTTAAACATTACTCACTTTTATTTATTATTATTATTCTTTTTTAGAGGTTTTTGCTATAGGGCATGTGCGCTCGCCAGACAGACTGAGAGAGACAGAGAGACAGAAAGTGAGAAATCACCCCCCAGGGAGGATGGCCACGCCACAATCCCTTCTCCTCCATTCTCCTCTGGGGATCTTAGAAAAACACACACACGAGACCAGCGTGAGATTTTTAGCCACCGGGTCCGGGACTCGAACTGCAGTCAACTACATAGGAGTCCAACGACATAGCCATTACGCTAACTGCTGGTCTCAAACATTACTCACTTTTTCAGAGAAGAAAAATGTGTAATTTTTACTTTTTTGAGAGTAATTAATAATCATTAATGTAAACAATGATAAAACCAAACTTTTCTTTTTTTCTTTTTTCTTTTTTTTTTGGAGAGATTTTCACTGTAGGGCGCGTGTGCTCGCCAGACAGACAGAGAGAGACATAGAGACAGAAAGCGAGAAATCACCCCCCAGGGGGTATGGCCACGCCGCAATCCCTTCTCCTCCATTCTCCTCTCGGGATCTTGGGCACGCACGCACACGCGCCCAGCGTGAGTTTTAAGCCACCGGGTCCGGGACACGAACCGCGGTCGACTACGTGGGAGTCCAGCAACATAGCCATTACGCTAACTGCTGGTTCCCCAAACTTTTCTTTTTTAACTCTGCAAAAATAATGTACTCACACCAGCATATGGCATAATGGTTACTTTCCTGGACTCACATATGTCCAACCATGGTTTGAGTTCTAGACCTGGAGGCTTAAAATTCATACCAGGCATGTGTACATGTGTGTCCAAAATCTCAAGAAGAAAATGGAGGAGAAGGGATTGTGCTGGGGCCATCCCCCATGGGGGGAAATTGATTTCTTGCTTTCTGTCTCTCTGTCTCTCCTGTGAGATTCTATGCCCTATTGCAAAAATCTCTTGAAAAAAATTAATGATGTACTCAATTGAGTCTTTAATCTTTTTTTTTTTTTCCTTTGAGAGGTTTTTGCTATAGGGCGTGTGCACTTGCCAGAAAGACAGAGAGAGACAGAGAGGTAGAAAGTAAGAAATTGGGACCAGTAGTTAGCATAATGGCTATGTCGCTGGACTCCCATGTAGTCAACCGCAGTTTGTGTCTCGGACCTGGTGGCTTAAAACTCACGCCGGGCGTGTGTGCATGTGTGCCCAAGATCCCAAGAGGAAAAAGGAGGAGAAGGGATTGTGGCGTGGCCATCCTCCCTGGGGGATGATTTCTCGCTTTCTGTCTCTCTGTCTCTCTCTGTCTGTCTGGCGAAAAACCTCTCCAAAAAAAAAAAAAAAGAAAGAAAGTGAAAAATCACCCCCCAGGGGTGATGGCCATGCTGCAATTCCTTCTCTTCTCCTCCATTCTCCTCTCGGGATCTTGGGCATGCAGGCACACATGCCCGGCGTGAGTTTAAGCCACCGGGTCCAGGACTCAAACCACAGCCGGCTACATAAGAGTTCAGCGACATAGCCATTACCCTAACTGCTGGTCCCTCCTCAATTGAGTCTTTAAAAGCAATTACTGAAAAGCCTCCACACCCAACATGTAATCAATTGACATTCACATTTGAACTCTAGGATAATTAAGTATATTTTAATGCACATTTTAAAAATCTTTTTTTTTTCTAAAAATATCATGAACTTGTCAGAGAGAGAGAGAGACAGAAACAGGGAGGGGAGAAAACTCCCACCTTCTCACCATGGAGAATGGTCATGCCACAATCTTCTCTCTTCCGTTTCTCCTTCCCTTCAGAATTTTTTGCATGCATGAACATAGACTTGGCATGTTTCTCAATCCACCAGGTTGGGGACCTGAACTGTGCAGTTGGCCTTGTGGGATCCAGCTGCCTTAACCACTAGGCCATGGAGCTAGCACAGAAAAAATAACAAAAGTCTATTTCTTTTGAGAAAACAGAGAGAGGCATCCCCAACATGGTCCAAAAATGATGATCAACCCCAACAGCCTTAGCCAGCCCAGAGTCGAGGTACACACAAACTTGCACATACTTAGTGTATAGAGGAAGGTCTCAGAATATGAACCTAGGACTTTTCCTTGAGGGTCTAGCATTACAGAGTATTGTGTTACTGTTGCTCCACTAACTGGGCACCAGTTCACATTCTTTTTTTTTTTGAAAGAGAGGTTGTTATAGGGCGCATGCACTTGCCAAAAAGACAGAGAGACAGAAAGCGAGAAATAAACCCCCAGCGGGGATGGCCACACTGCAATCCCTTCTCCTCCATTCTCTTCTTGGGATCTTGGGCACACACGCACACGTATACCCGGCATGAGTTTAAGCACTGGTTCTGGGACTCGAACCGCGTTCGACTACATGGGAGTCCAGTGACATAGCCACTACACTAACTGGTGGTCCCCCCCCCATTCACATTCTTGAGGCTTCTCAGCCTCTAGGATGTTTATCTCAAAGTTACCTTATTTACTTTTTCATTCATAATATGAAAATTAGCCCTTATCTGAAATAGAAGTCTTTCTGGAGAAACCAACTTTAAGACCTATGAAATGTCCCTGTGTTGCAGGTCATACGGAAAGGAGAAGTCAGCTGCTGCTGGATTTGCACGGCCTGCAAAGAGAATGAATATGTGCAAGATGAGTTTACCTGCAAAGCCTGTGACTTGGGGTGGTGGCCCAATGCAGATCTAACAGGTAGGAGCTGCTTTACTTGGAAACCTCATTCCTGACCATTGGCCTTTCCAATATGCTCATCGTTTAAACGTCAGTGATCGAATAAGAGTGATTACTCTTTTCTATAGTAACTTATAGTGTACATCTTTTCATGCTCAGGTCATGAAGTATGCACAAACCTTTTATAAGTTTTTCATGGTCTGTATTGAAAAGAAAGATATTTAAATCTAAGTAAATTGATATGTGGTAGGATATCCTGTTGTACAGTTGTTCTCGGGTTTTCCTTTTTTAAAATTGTATTAGAGGGTATTGTTAGCCACCTGAATTTAAATCTGCAAACATTTCTTGAACATCTATGTATGAGGAACTATTACAGGTCCCAAACATACATAGGTAATGAAATGAAACACAGTCCCAGAGTTTTTTTGTTTGTTTGTTTGTTTGTTTTAAATCCATCAGGGAAGAAACATGTGAAAGTAGAATATAATATGACATAATTATTAATATAGAGATATATTTATGAAGGTTTTTGGGCACATAGGAGATAAAAGATATTCTAGGTAGAAATCATGGCAGCAGGAAAATTTATGATATGTTTGGGGAGAACCATAGAACAAACATATGGGTTGGTTGGTAGACACAGGGGCCTAGCAGAGGAGGGTAGACACAGACCAGATTAAGACCCGGCAGTGAAGGGTAGGGTGCTCCTGTAAGACCTCCTGCTACATGTTTGCACTTTAGCTTTTAGTACAAGAAAACCACCAAATGATTTTAAAGTGGTAAATTACACCATGACACCTGTTTCAGCAGG